TCAAATTTGCATTGCATTCTTACTTATAGTTAATAGTTATGAGTTTAAAAAATTAATATTAATATCCTAGTGCCTTATATTAAGGATAAAAAAAATTCTTTTAGAAGACATCTTATAATAAGGATGGGAGAGAGTACTTAGAAAAGAAAAAGAAAAATCCAAATCCTATGTTTAAAATCCCAATTTTTCTCATGTATTATATCATCAGTGTAAAATATAAAATTTTAATAATAAGTTACGGTATTTATAATTTATAAAAAGCATACTTTATTTCTAAATTCCACACAATATATATATATATTTTAAGAATTCCTATTTATAATTATTTATTTATCACTATGGTTCCATTTTTTCCCATTTGCTAGGCTGGCTTGCTACAATATTAATTAGCTCCCTGTTTTTCTTTATATTCTACTCCTTTTTTCAATAAATATAAGTTTAGTGCTCTCTATTTTTATTTGTATAGGTTATATCTGTTGGCTTTATCTCATAGTTTTAATTACACTTTTAATTAAAAAAATCATAATAACACTTTCAAAGAACTGTATATCAGAGCAAATTAACCTTCCTAATGTAATTGGAAGAGCGTTTATGGAGAAACCTATCAATGAGCCACGAACAAAATATTCGTATTGATATGGGATTTGGAATTGGTAACTATATTTAATATAGGAATTGAATACCTGTATTATTTGAATTATTAAAATTCAGATCAGTGATTATGAATTTATATTTCACTTAAGATTAATGAATAAGTAAATTTATCTTAATCGTTAATCTGGATTTTAATGATTTAAATGGTACAGGCATTCAATGCCTATATTATCCAAATCCATATGCTATTCTAATTGTAATGAAATTTATTTTGGTAAAACAAAAAATAAACAATATTGCTCAGTAGTCAGTACAAATTGTCAATGTAAGTATTAATTAATTAAGCATTCAGGGAAGAAGCAATCTTAACGTTTCTAACCCCCTCCAGAAAAAAAAACCTTGCTCTCTCAGCTCAGTATTACAATGCACTTTTCTGTAATATTAGGTTAAAAAATATAAAGTATTTTGAATTTTTTTAAAATATAATTAATATGATTTTAAGAAAAATGCTTTTAATAAGAGATATAATTAATAAGATTTTCTAGTTGACATAACATATTAGATCAAGGTAAATAGGGAATGCATATATAATTTCAAATACTATTAACTAATTTATTATAGTGTATGTAATGAATTAGTTAAAAGTTTCTTAATATTCTAAACCAAAGAAATATTTGGGAAGGATAAAAATATAGGGTTAATATATAATTTAGATCCTAAACTATAGATCCAAGGACTATTTGAATTATAAACCAAATTGTCAATGTAAGTATTAATTAATTAAGCATTCAGGGAAGAAGCAATCTTAACGTTTCTAACCCCCTCCAGAAAAAAAAACCTTGCTCTCTCAGCTCAGTATTACAATGCACTTTTCTGTAATATTAGGTTAAAAAATATAAAGTATTTTGAATTTTTTTAAAATATAATTAATATGATTTTAAGAAAAATGCTTTTAATAAGAGATATAATTAATAAGATTTTCTAATTGACATAACATATTAGATCAAGGTAAATAGGGAATGCATATATAATTTCAAATACTATTAACTAATTTATTATAGTGTATGTAATGAATTAGTTAAAAGTTTCTTAATATTCTAAACCAAAGAAATATTTGGGAAGGATAAAAATATAGGGTTAATATATAATTTAGATCCTAAACTATAGATCCAAGGACTATTTGAATTATAAACTCATATCTATTACAATTTGAGTTCTAAATAATTAAACTTGAGACAATTTTGCTTCTATTGTTAAATTAAAAGAAATGTTCATTATTTTTTTTAAAAAAAAAGGAGCTTGATATATAATTTTTCTCAAAAGAAAGTAAGATGGAGAGGAAGAGTGGAGTTTGAAGAAATTGCACATGGGGCACCATTTTTTTTAAGAAGTAAGGACATTTGTTTTAATTTAATAATAAAGGTAAAATTATTTTAATTTTAATTATTTAAGATTTAGAATATATTAAATATGAGTTTAGGGTCTAAATTGTCCCTGAACCTATAATTTAAGGTCTAAATTGCATATTAACCTAATTTCTAAGCAAGAAATAAATTGCTTCTAAATAGCACTAGAAACTTTTTATTGCAAGGCAAAAACATTAAACCTTTTAAATCATAATATATTTTCTTACAACAACACTATTGTACGCTTGAATATTAAGGACTCATTTGGTTTATCTTCTTATTTTTTTTTATTTTTAAAAATTATTCTATGATACATTTTTTATTTTAAAAAACAAAATATAAAAATCTAGTTAGTTATGTTAATTTAAAAATAGATTTAGGATTAAAAAAATTGATTGATAGTGATATTCAATGATTACAGCTGATTAATGGTGATGACTTATGATAATCATTAATTAAGATAACTATAGTTTTTAAAAATTGTATTTTAAAAAAATGAAATGAAATAACTCTAAGGTGTTTCTATTTTTGTTTTTAAAAATAAAAAATGAGAACAGTTTTAAAAATAATTATATCCAAAGCACTCGCCCAAACAATTTTTTTTAATTTTTAATTAATAAAAATAAAAAATAATTTCAAAAATAAAAATCAAACGTGGCCTAAATCATCAATATAACATTGACCTTCACAATATGTTTCTTTTAGTAATGTAATATTAAAATTTACTCATCTTTTCTACATGTCTGTCAAATTAATAGTTTGGAACAAGTAAATTAATAATACTCCTTCTGTTGTCATATATATATATATATATATATATAAAACAAATATTTTAGCAAATTTCAAACATTTTTAATACAAGTCATTTCACAAAAATATAAGCCACATTATTATTTTTTTAACCATATTTGTCTCTTCTAATGATACTGTGCAATTAAAGTTCAAAGTTCATTAACATTCTCTGTCATGAGATATACAGAAGAAAGAATTATTCTATACCCACCACAATGTCTCTTTATGAAGAACAACAGAAACAAATAAGGATTAAATAACTTATCTGCAAAGATGGTGCCCATCAGAATAAGCTCTTGAGCCAGCTAACATGTCATGAATCTTCTGGGCTCAATATATATTCATATTCTCCTAATTAATGAGATTCAAGTTGTGTGATATTTTTTATGACATAATAAAATTTTTAGTCCTTTAAATTTATCTTAATTATTGATTGAGTTCTTTAAATTTATTTATTTTTCAATAAAGTCTCTCAGGAATTTAATAGCCAGAACACAAGTAATACTTTTTTGTATAGTTATGAAACTTTAAGGACTTGATGGATAAAAATTAAAGTTGAAAAACCAAATCAATAGTTGAGATAAATTTAAAAGATAAAAAATTTTATTATCCTTTTTTCATGAAAGAAAATATACAGATTCAAATGAAAATTAAAATTAAATTAATTACACGTTAAATAGAAATTTACAATGATATAATCGACATGTCCAAATAACCTTTTTTTTTTCATCGTGTCATGCAACAAGACATTTACACATGAAATTCTTACCTGAACCCAGTGCACAATGTCATTTATACTCCATTCAATAAAAATATAATATTCAAATGGTTACAAATATAAATTAATTTTGTTATTAATGATAGTAAAGAAAAAAAAGATAAAAAATTAAATAAGCATTATATTCTAAAAATAAAGTCATTGAAAATAATAACACACAATATTTTATTTATTAAATTCGTGTAATTTTATTGGATGAAATATGAATGACGTGGTGTATCAAATTCATGTAAGAATTTGTCTCTCATGGATTGTATGAAGTTTTATGACTTATTTTTTTTATAATAATTACCAATATAATGTAATAATTTTAATAAATTATGATACGCTTATACTCCCTTCATTTAAAAATATACGGCATTTTTTAAATAGTTGAATGTTAAAAAATGTAAGGCATTTTTAGTCTTTCGATGTGTTTATTGCCTTTTTTTTTCTAAAAATATTTATATTTATTATAGAGTGTTTAATGGGGGTAAATATAAAAAGATAGAACTAGTTTGAAAGTAAGTAATTATTTTATTAAAAATAAAATTTAATTAAAAATATTTTATATTTTTAAACATAGAGAATATAATTCATTAACAATATAATTTATTTTTCAACTCAATGCATGATATGGAATACACACACATCGATACATTATTGTGAATATGCAACATATTAATGTTATGACTTATGAAGTTGTGAGTCTCTCTCTCTTCTGTTTTCTTTTTTTTTTTCCTCCTTTGAAACAAAAGGTAGGATTGCGTGTGGATCCAATAAAAACTTTTTCTATAACAAAATATCTTTTAGTTTCCTCTAGATCATTAGCTTTGAAAGGAGTGTGACCACTTAACTTAAGTATAAGATCTCAAATTAGAAATGCTTGAATCTAACCTCATAGTAATTGATCTTAGAAAATATATAAGAAAATTTTATATTATAGGGTGGAGAAAAGGTATGCAAATAATCAAAAGAGATCAACAAACTTAAAAAAAAAAAAACCTTAACGTTTTATGAATTAAAGATTAATATCATATCCCTTTATAACTTCTCAAACTCTATAGCCAAAACAAGCTCTAGATGCTATCCCAAGTCAACAAATGATAATATTGAAACCTGACTAAAATATAATTTAATTACATAAAACCGATTTAATTACAAGGCTAATTTAAAAGTCGATCCGCTGACACTTGACAGGACCAAAAAGCCAAGATTAAAACCAAGCAAATCAAATCTCATGAAATTAATAAGTAAAAATTAATTTAAGATCCCCGCAACATATTTAAATATCACAAGATTTATAAACAACTTAACAAAGAAAATGATACAACTAAATATAGTTATCTTTTTTTTTTGTTAATTTGCCAATGGATATTATAATATTTAAATAGGGGATTTATGTGTAATTCTCCAGAGTAATGACAATACTAATAATTAATTAAAAAATATGATAATACTAATAATAATAATAATAAACCACAATGACAATACTAATAATAATTATTATAATAATCGTAAATTAATTAATTAATTAAAAAACTACTGAAAGCATTTCAGTGTCCGTACAATACACGCAGGTCCGTGGGAAGTAGAAGGATGGTGAAGAGGCAAAGAGCTAGGACGTTGTGGGTTCGTTATGGTGCGAAGGAGAATGCAGAGGAAACAGAGGCAATAGCTCCGGCGGCTGAGAACCTCGAGGCGTGCTCAACGGACTTGGGTGTAAGAAGAAGCCCTTCTCGGCAATGGCTCGTTCTTCCAACATCTCCAGCGGCGACACCGGCGACGCCATCACCATCGCCGATCCTCTGGTTCGAGCATGACAGGAAGAAGGCGGCGGCGGCGACGGAGACGGGCTCGGGATGGTGAGGCTGAAGACTGGCCGTTGGGAGACTCCGATGCTGAGGTCCATCTTCCTGGCGGCGTGGCGGCGCTCGTGGAGCTTGAAGGCCGGCTTCTTGGGCCCGACATCTGCGGCGGCGAGGCGGGAAGGGAGGGTGAGTGGGAGCTTTGGAGAGGAGGGGTCGTCGGAAGCTCCGGTGAGCTTTTGGACTACGGTGCGGAAGGTGGACGGGTCGGCTTGGACGAAGGTGGTGTTGGGTGTGGTCGGGTCGGATCCGTAGAGGGGTGGCGTGTGGTGGAAGGTGGCGGTGCTGCCGGTGGCAGCGGGGTGGTGAGAAGAAGCCATGAAAGCGTTTAGAGAGAGAGGGAGAGATTGAAGAGACGAATGAAACCAATAAGAGTTTAGAGAGAGAGAGAGAGCGAAGTGTAAAAATTTATGTCTGTTTTTCAGAATTGAATTGCTTTGCTTTGCTTCGATGCTTTATGAGAGAGTGGTGTATGGTGCAAGTGACAGTCACAAGAAATTTAAAAAAGAAAAAAGAAACTGAAAATTTAGGACTCTTCTTAGTACTTTGGGATTCATTTGTCTTCTTATTCTTACCTTACCTACCTGCACACGTTTTTCTTTTTATTGTGTTTATTTCACCATCTTCGTGAACAGTTACAAATCCTATTTATTATGACTTATAAATAGTAGAATTTTTTTTTTGGTCACCCTAAAAGATAAGTAGATTAGCACTACGCTAGTTTAAACAAATGAGAATGACAACTAAATTCTAAAAAAGAAAATTAATGATAGTTAGATTTTCTAATAAATTTTTACAAAATTAAGTGGCAAAGATCAATTAAATAATTGCAAATAAAAATTTAAATTTTAAATATAATTCTTAGTTTGTAATTGAAATTTATGTTTGCACATATCTAAATTAATATTTATAACTCATTTTAAAAAAAAAATTATTGAGAATCTTACTATATCATTGATTCTCTCTTTTAGTATTGAATCACGTTGGGCCCAAAACCACTCTTTAAAGTTTTAACAACATGTTTTCATTTTGGTAACATGTTCCAAACTTATAAAGTATTGACACTACTCTAATTGGAACGTGGCAAATCAAATAAAATGACATGGCATATAAATACATAATAATTTATCATCATACCCCATTCATTCTACAAAATCAAATATCTATTTAATTCGATACTGGTTTTATTCATGTTATTGTGTTAGACATATCTTTAGACGATGAGTACTTCTTATTATCAACTTGCTGAAAATTATTTGCGCGCGCGCGCACATAAGAGTTGATAAAAATACTAAAATAATTATGACAATTAATGTTTACGACGGAATGTTAGAAAAGCAAAGAAAAACAATTTTCTACTTCCAAAAGTAGTGGTATAATTATTTACTCTAAATGTGACATCATTAAATGACTGGTGACGTTGCTATGTTTGCTTTTGATTATCTTCATTCCACCTTATTTAATTAAACATGAAAGTCCTCACCTTCATGTCGAGGTGAGGATATATATATATATATATATATACATATAAAACTCAAGTTGCAAAGAAGAGAAACAAATTAAAGTGAAACTTTATTGGGGTGATGAGTGGAACTGAGTATCTTTTTTAAATCCGAGTAAGTAAAAATTCATTATCATTTGGTTTAACCTTTTAATCTGAGTCATTTTGAAGTTTAATGCATATATATAGTCATACATAAGCCATCTTGTGTTTTCACGAATTAAATCCTAATATGTGTGTATGTGTGTGTGCATTAAATGAGTCACAGAGGCACAGTAAGAGGCACATGAAGGCAAGTCCTAGAAACAGTAGTGGCCCCGTATTGACACAGAAAAGTCAAGGGGTCATAATGGAATAATAAGATGAATGAGATCTAAGGGTTTTGCTTCATCACTTGAAGTAATGAATGACATCGGAGCAATATCATCGCAATTTCTCACCGCATCCATAAATTAGTGTAACCAATCAAGAGGAGATTGGTTCCACTGGTTGAAGGGATTAAGTTGTCTTATCTCAAAGTTTCAAGTTTGAGTCCCATCATATACATATAGCAGCATAAAATAAAAATGTTAAAAATATTTTTAATGTACCTATGAAATTGTATTCAGCACAGCAACAAAAAAATTCCATACAATAAGAGTTAGGATTAGTTTGGCAATACCCTCTTTTTTTTTTCAGGATATCGAGCAATGAAATAAAAAAAATTAAATGTATATATATAATGTAATAAAAAATCCATAAAAATATTTTGAGTATAAAAAAAAATTACACAAAAAAATATGAATTTTGACGTACAATCTCATTTTTATTCATCAACTCTTTCCTTTAATTTAGTACATAAATTAAAATATACAATATACGTTCTATATCTATTATTATTAACAACTGTAGCTATCACTATTTATTATTTTTATTATTCTAAGGTTATGCAAAATATTCACATCCACCAAATTATTTTTTTAATATTTCTTCATTCCATTCTATTCATCAAATGGGCTAAAAACTGGGGCTACTTAATGCTTATTATCTTTTGGAATTTTGCCTCCAATGTTACTTACATATTATATACAAGTGATATTTACAAATTAAATTATAAGACGCAAATAATGGCAGTTGGATAAAGTTGGATGACTGTATTAACCCAACTTCAAACTTTGCAGATGAAAGTTTCATATTGAGAGACATTTTTAAGGAAGAATGATAATTAAGGACCCCAAAAAAATTAATGTCAAAGTAAGATCTTCTCATTATTAACTTAGATTTCTAAATTCAGTATTCATCCTCTTATGTTTTAGCATTGATTTTTTTTAAAGAAAATATTAATTTGATATTAATCTTTTTAAGAGGTACCTAATTGTCATTCTTCCTTTTTTTTTCCCCTCAATAAACATGATGCAATAATATCAGTCACACACATACAAGGTTGGCTTTAGGGAGGTAGTCCCAGGATAGAGAATTAATCACAATGAAGATCAGGGGAAAAAAATTTTAAAAAATAAATTGTAAATAATGATTTAAATAATTATAAATTTAAAAATTTTAATTATAAATAAGATATTTAAATTCTGAATGTAACTCCCAATTTCTTTTGAAATCCATGTTTACAGTGGTTGGAATTGATATATGTAATTGATTTTTCAAAAAAAAAAAAATTGTTAAGATTTATACTCCCTTCCTTTTTTCAATTTTCAGAGAAACTATTACTTTTGACTTGTATTTTTTTATAAATAAAATCAGTCATTTCAATAAATATTTATTACACATTTCTTAAATCACTACTCATAATTTACATTAATAAAAATAATTAATATTTGTTTATATTGATTAACATAGGATATTTTAATTCTTTTTTTTTTTAATTTTTAGATATAATTATTATAATTAATAAATTTTTTAAATAATGTGATACAGTTTTTTCTTTATATATACAAATGGAGGGATTAAGAGTTAAGACATAACTGTTATTAAATATCTATTTCGAAACTTTATTATTTTTATCTTAATTTTATATATAAAAAAGGGAGAAATGAAGAAAATGGTGGTCCGTAGACCATATGTGGAATTTAGCTGGCAGCGCATGATGAGAGAGAGAGCGAGAAAGAGAGAGAGCGTTTGGTCAGAGGCAGAGGAAGAGAGAGAAGGCTCGTGATTGCTTGTTGTGGGGTCCAAATATTTTGAACATTGTCAAACAGTTTCCTTTTCCTTCACTTTCTGACCAATTTTTCCCTTTGCTTCCCACGCAGATCAGATTAGATTGCGTGAGAAATTGGGACTTTGACAATTGATGACACAAAAAGAAACAGAGAGGCTTTCAGAGTTGGTTCCTTCTCAACTTTCGTTGCTTCTTCACACTTTGTTTCGTTTTGGATTTGGTTACCACTCACCCAACCACTGGCCTTTTTGACATTCACATGACTGTTAAACATCACCATTCTTATCCTTAGTTCCTTACCATAAATATTATTCCCATTAATATTTCTCTTTTTTTAAAAAAAATAATAGATAATAAATCTTGCAACAAGACATGTTTTAGTTTATAAATATAAAAAAAAACCTTGCGACACAATAAATGCTTACGAAATTACTTAGTATGCTTGTTAGCTTTCATTTTTTATTGTTCATAGATGTCATGTTGACAGTAATCATGTTTGAAGCACAATCAAACATAAAATGTGAATATCTTTTTATTGTAAATATGAACTTTTATTCAACATGTTTCTAAAGGATTAATTCTTTCCAATAGATTCAAACATGTTTGTTAACTTGCATTTTTACAAGGCATACAAGTCACAGGGTAGTTTAGATATATACATTGACAAACAAATTTTATCCAACTTAACTAATTAAGCGGGTAAAAAATTGCTTCTATATTTAATAGATCAATAGATCAGTTATGTTTACTCTCTCTCTCTCTCTCTATAAACAAAATATTAATATAAAAATAAAATTTATAAAAAAATATATTTTTCATAAATTTTAAATAATATAAGAAGAATTTATACACAGATCCCTAATAAAAAATTAATTATTTTATCGGTCTCATTTTCAAGTTAGGCTTTTGAATTTACATATCAGACTTTTTTGTTTACTCGTGTTTAAGACTTGTAATTAATTACTTTTCTATTCAATACATATATATAATTCTCCCGATAATATGTTGATTCCCCAAGTTTATTTAACATAATATCAGTTATAGAATAAGTTTGTGTAATAAAAATAAAAAATAAAGAGAGAAATTGAAAATGTGTACTTAAGAAAATAAGAAGAATCAGATTTAAGGCTAACATATTGACACTGTAGGCTCAATGAATTATAATATTCATCTGCAGGTCCAAAGACTTTAGTTTAGTTATTTTTTAAAATTAAAAGACCAAACTACCCCCTTCTTAGGTCAAGAGATGAAACTACCCTTAAGCAAAATCACATGGACTCGTGTAAACAAAAGAATTTTTTGCTACAACTAGCTCAACTTTTCTTGTTATTTACAGACTTTCTGTTGTTAACTTTCTTTAGTTAATTTGTAAATTTTTCTCCTCTGCAAGTATAAGTGTAAACCTTCATAAACTCTTGTAAATAAATGGGAGTTTATTTTTATATTACAAATTTTCTGTTGTGAATTCTCTTCGATTAACTTATAAAATTTTTGAAGTACAACTGTCATAAATACACATGGGCTCTTGATAATAAAGGGACATCTTCCAATAAATAATTGGATTTTTCTTATTATTTCCAGACTTTCTCTTGTTAATTTTAATTATTTGGTTAACTTTTAAATTTTTTAATTACAAGTATAAACTCACATGTATTCTTGTGAATAAACGGGGTTTTTATTGTAAATAATTAAACTTTTCTTATTATTTACAAATCTTCTATTATTAATTTCTTTAGTTAATGCACAGTACAGATATTCCTATTTATTAAGGCTAGTTTGTTA